CTAATTTTATATTAAAAAAAAATTCATGTCACTAACCACGTCATCAAATAATACTGAGTTGGATGTCACATCACTTGCTACATCAGCATGATAACCGGTTAATGCTTCAATCGTTTACACAGGTACTTAAATGTTTAAAACTTTACATCTTAGATACCAAAATAAAAGTTTTGAAAGTACTTTACCCAAAATATGAATCAAGTTAAAGTATGTTACTTTTTTAATGCAATTTGTCCTTTTACAATCTACTTAAACTTTAGAGCATTTACAGTGATGGAACCTCCGAAAATCTCATTTTTTTTATCACATAATTGTCACCTCGACAATATAAGAACCTAAAAAACCTCACTATTTTTTTACAAAATATATCTGTATTTACATATTATTATATGAATATATATATATATATATATATGGTTTAATTTACAAACCAAACTATTAGTATAAATCATACAAAACAATGTCAACCGTTCATCTAGTCTAGTGAATATCTGGTTGTTTTCTAATAAAGTGTTGATCATAATAAATGTATTATATAATTTTTGTAAATATCCAAATCATAATAAACAAACTATCATCATTGCTATAAATATCTCAATTAATTGGTTTGTATTGTTTTTTATAGATGATTGAAAACTTGGGATCATGTGAGACCAGGTTGATTTCATGAGACACATTTTTTACACTTGAAACTTCACAACAAAATACTGTGAAGGTAACCTTCACAATGCTTTTGCTATGAAAATTCAGTTTTTTTTTATCTTTACAACATTTTGTTGTGAAGTTTCAAGTGTAAAAATCGTGTCTCACGAAAACCTATATTGTCTCACGTGAACCCGTCCCGATGGTTGAATTTGTAAAAGATCTCTCCTATATGCCTCTTAGTGTGTATGTTTTTATTAACCTGGATATCCAACATGTTATGCGAACCGACTAATCCTAGGGCAACCTCCTGCTTTGTTGGTAGCCCAGAGTCATCGCATTTGAACATCTGTGGCTACAAGGGGGTTTTTATTCCTCCTTGGATTTGAACCTGAGACCTCCATATACTTTTGACATTTGGAATTCTAAGCTCAAATCAATAGGACACCACCCTTGTAGTTCTCTTGGTGTATTTTTTGATATATTTGTGTTGAATTATCGACTTTTGGTATATTTGTGTCATCTATGTATATGGAAAAAATTATATACTATATAAAAATATAAAAAGATATTTTACAATTATTAATTTAAGATTTACACATTAATTTAATTATATATATACACATATATAAATATTTAAAAAAAATCTAAATATAATAATATAACAAGATAATTAAAAAAATACTAAGGAGTTGTTTGACAGTTGCTGAATGGTTTGATGCGGAATGATTAAGTGGTCGGAATGATTAAGAGACTCTCATGATATAATGCAAAATGAAATATAATTGTATATGAATCGTTTACAATGAAATTAGGGAGTTGAATGGTTAAGAGAGACCAAAGATACAAAATAATTCAGAGGGTTTTAGAACCACTAAGAGACAATTTTTGTTTTTGTCAAACAAGATTCACCTCTTAACGATTCAGAGACTACTTCTTAATGGAACTATTAAGAGGTAAACAAACAACTTTTAAATCTATTAAAACAAAATAAAAAAGCTTGTATGAAAATTTACAAAATAAAACAAATAAATAATAATATTTTATAATTTTCTTCAAAAAGTACAAATATTTATAAATGTTTAAAAAATTATATTATTTGTATTAATTTTAACTTATATTTTATATGCATTAAAACAAAAGAAAATGGTTAAAAAAGAATAAAATAAAAAATAAATGTAGATAAAAACCCAAATTCTTGTTCAAGCATCTGGATTCTTGTAAGAACTTATGATTGGACAAGAACCTATGTTTCATAATGGATGTTCTTATAAAAACCCCAACTTGAATTTCAATGAGAACATTCATAATGAATATTCTTACTAATCAGTCATTTTGGAATTCGAACTCTGTATCATTATTAATATTTACGATTGATCATCAGTTTGGAAAATATAGTATTGGAATCCAAATTTAGGGGCCGTTTACCAAATGCTTACTTGAGTAAGCGCTTATCAAGTCACATTACCTTATTGGATGAATATGGTAAGGACCAACAATCTTACCCGATAAGAGCGAAACAAGGACCATGAGTCTTACCTGATAAGTGAGGGCGACAACTCTTACCATGGTAAGCGATTACCGGGTAAATTGTTGCATACGATGCCGTTTTATTGAAGTAAAATCTTACCAGTAAGTAAATAATAGTGTTAAATTTTCACGGTAAGCGCTTACCGGGTAAATGTTTGTAAACGGCCCCTTAGTGTAGAGAAATAAAAGTTACAGTTGTCTTAAAAAGCACAATATATACGGTTGATTTCAGTGGATAATGATTGATTTAAATAAATTAACCAACTAAAATTAGATATTACCATAATGAAGATTTAAATAAAAGGGCAAACTATTGTGAGAATGTAATAAAGAAACATTGATATCGTGGGCTCAATTGGCAAAACGGCATGACAACTTTATACAAAGACAAGACATGTCTCGAGTTCGATCACGCCCCCAGTCTCAACGGTTGAGTGAGTCAAAGAAATACTTCTTGATATTGTTGTTTTTGGAGGTGGGTTTTGTGTAGGACTTTCAATAATCAACTTTACCAAATAAAGAAATGTTGATAGAAGATTCATATGTGAATCATTGAAAAAATCCATTTGAAGATGCATATATGTTGTGTGGGGTCGTTGATAATCAACTTTTGCCAAATAAAAAAATGTTGATGGAAGATTCATATGTGAATCATTGAAAAAATATATTTGAAACCGCATATATGAACTCATATGAACAATCTTTAACGTCAATTCATATATGCATATTCAAATAAAAATTTTCATACTTTTTCAATGTATTCACATATGAATTTTCTCTTATTATCTTCTCACAATATTAAGCCTTGCTATTTAAACTCATCCTTAGGGGATATTCTTTTGATAACCCATAAATTGTGATAACCTTGTGAACGAGTGCATCAAGTAATATTTCATATGATTTTTTTTTCATCTAAGGCTATAATTTAGAATATCGATTAGCATATATCTGTTTCACAAATATATGTTCATCAATACATTAAATGCTAACATTAGATAAAAAATAATATAAAACAATACCTTAAGATTATAGTTCCTACAGTTATCACAATATATGGACTTCTCAAATATTAAAACCCTACTTATTCTTATATAATAAAAATATAAATACAACCACAAGGGTGGTGTCTGATTGGTTTGACCTTGCCTCAAAAGGTCAAAAGTACCTGAAGGTCCCAGGTTCAAATCCAAGAAGGAATAAAAATCCCCTTGTGGCCACGGAGGTTCAAATACGGTGACTCCGGGCTATCTGCAAAACAGGTGGTCGTCCTGAAATTAGTCGGTTCATATAGTGGATTGGATATCCAGGTTAATAAAAAAAATATAAATACTATATAAATGGGAACAATCATTTATTTTTTGAAAAAAAAAAAGAAAATGAAAAAACTTTTAAAAACACCAAAAGAACCAACATTTGGTGGTTTTTATTGCAAGAAAATGGTCATCATTGCTTTGTCAAATGAAGCCAATCACTAAATTTTCATATGTTTATTTAAAGTTATATATTTTAATTAAAAAATTTAGAATTTAACTACAAGGGTGATGTATGATTGGTTAAACTTGGACTTCAAAGGTCAAAAGTGTTTGAAGGTTCCATGTTCAAATCCAATAATGTGGTCACGGAAGTTCAAATGCGGTGACTCCAGACTACTTGCAAAGCAGGTGGTTACCTTAAGATTAGTCAGCTCGCATGATGAGTTAAATATCCAGGTTAATCGAAAAAACTTTGTAGAATATTATTTCTTCATTTTGTTAATTATATTTTAGATTATTATGCTTTAAATTTTATTTTGTGAATTCTTTAACATCCAAATTGGATCATCGGTTATTGAATGATAGTCCAGCATCAAATAAAACAGATTTGATCCGATAACCATCCAATGACTATTCAACTACCATCCAATTAATAACTATATATAAATTTTAACATTTTACGATATTGTTTATTAGTTGATACTTATATGCATTGTTTTTAATAACTTACGAAAATATACGAATAATTGGTTGAAAATTTGATCAAAATATTAGATGAATCCAATCTGATTCAATGGATAACTAATAACATTATCCAATTAGGTGGAACCGATCAAATCCAATCATCCATTGGATTGGACTGAATCAATGTCCAATGCTAGTTTGATTGGATCGGATGACAAAGTCCAACATCCAATGGCTGATTGAATCGGATGGGATCCATCTACATCCAATGGCTGATTGGATCGTATGGGATCCATCTATATCCATTGGATTCCAACCGATGAACACCCCTATTTGTAGACAATGGACTCTTCAGTAAGCTAAACCCAATGGGCTGGTATGTACAGTACGTGGTTTTTGAGGTAAAATCAGTGATTTGTCTCTTACAATATGCTCTTGGCCCTTGGGGCGGGGCACTGTGGGCTAGCTTAAGGGTTGTTGGTGACAAACTCAGATGGTGATGAATTTTTGGAAGTTGAATATTTTATCGAGATATGCATGTTTGAAAAAAATTTGGTAATTATTTACAACGAAATTAGGGCGTTGAATGGTTGAGGAGGACTCAAAATACAAAATCATTCAGAAGGTTTTAAAATCATTAAGAGACACATTTTTTTTGCCAAACAAGATTCACCTCTTAACGATTCAGATATTGCCTCTTAATAAAACTATTAAGGGGTAAACAAACCATATCTAAAAAAATGACTAAAAGATGAATCAAAAGCTTATAAATTACCATTTTAATTAATTTTCTAAAATAAATACGTTAGGTATTTAAATACAAAAATTTGGTTGGATTGGCGACTTCTAGTGCCTGACTTGTACCTACTCCCTTTCTCCCCTTCCCTCCATATTTCACATACGACACTCACAAAACTCCTACCTCTCTGAGCTTCTTTCGAATCCCAAAATGGATTCCGAAGCAGGTAATTCCAATCATTAAACCTTAATTCTTTATAATTCATATACAAATAGATGTATACATCCAGATATTTGGCTCTTTGTGTGTGCTAATTTTTGTTTCTGTTTGCAGTGATCGAGTTTTTAGGCGACGTGCCTGTGCTTCAGAGATTTCCGAGCTCTTCTATTCGGAAAATTGCTCAATTTGTTGTGGTTAAACGTTATAGTAATTATCTCTACTTGCAAGTTTAAATGTGTTATTCAATTTGATTTTGTCGTTTGATTGCAGGGTGTTTTGAGTGTGAGTTGTTTTGTTGATGTAGTTTTTGTTCTAGACATTTTATTTTGGATGTCAAGTGAGTAATTCTTAGTTCTAAATTCCATAAAGTTTTGAAGTTTTTGAGAAAAAATGGTGGCTGGATTGAATTTATTACAGATGTTAGTTTTGAAACTTGAAATTGAATTAGAATCGGTTTTTCTAGGTTTGACATGAAAAGTCAAAGTACAGATTGGTTTTTAATAACTTTATGTTGAAGAATTGCTATCTTCTACTTTCTATAATAAGGCTCAACTTTGACTTTTGGAAAATCAAATAGGTTACTTTTCAAGTTTCAATTTGTTTATAGATTGTAATAGTTTAGAAAGTAAGGTTACAAATATGTTAAATTGTAATAATGCACGACTACTTAATGCATAGCCTTTAAACTGTATAACAAGTTACCAATTTAAAAACACTGATCATAAACTAGGAAAAGGTTATTATGAATATGATTTGTAATACCATGTTTAGCATAGAAAAGCAAAATATATCTTCTTTCTTGGAAAGGAAGGGGTGCTGATGTATAAGAAGTAAGCGTCTTTGTCTTTCTCCAGGAACTCCTATTAGACTTACTGGCTACTAGGCCAATCCTACTATGAGGGATATATTTCACGTAGCTAAAAAGCGATATAATGAGCAAGGAAAAATGTGGGTGTCATGTCCAGAAAATGACAGAAGTATGAATTTCAACGCATCCTGCAAAATCACACCCAAGGGGATTCCCCCCAATTGATGTACCTCGATAGATTTGAGTCTAGGTCTTCCCAGGCAAATTTTAACCACCTGTACGAGCACATTTTGTGGGTTTTTTTATCACACTGAAAAATTCCTAGATGTTGAATCATGTCCATTTAGCTGCCTCAGGTTTGCAAGGGTTTTTTTGTAGGTTAGCAAGATTTGTGGATACCTTGTTCTTTAGTCTCACCTGGAACATGATCGTTTACTATTAACTGTATAGAATGTGCTTTATATTTGATATTAATGCGTTCAAGTCAGTCTCATGTTATGACGGAATGTTCTATCAACCAACATGATTGCATGGCTTTTCATTTTGAAGATTCTGGGGAATATATTTTCCGAGAAGAGAAAACTGGGGATGGAATTTACATTATTTGTGAGGGCGAGGTAATTTGTATCCTGATCCACCAAGTCTGTGCTTAATTCATTGATAATCACACACAGCCTTAAGTATTCATTATTTATTTGATGACATCTATATTTGCAGGTGGAAGTCTCCAGTGCATTTCGTGCAGATAACCATGAGTGTCAAGTTCTCCAGTGGAGAAAATTTGATTACTTCACCCAAAGTGAGGCCATCCTATTGCACCCTTTATAGTCTATATTATTCAGCCGAATACATTTTGAGATTGAATGGGGTGGGATATACTAGTCCATTGTCTGGATTTTATTGATTCATGATTTTTTTATTGCATATAATAAGTATAGAGTCGTTAAGAGAAGGGGTGGGGGGAGGAGAGAGAATAAGAACAAAAATTCCTTGGGTGCCAAAACAAATTTGAAACATGATCCAATGCTATTTTGCAGATGAATCTGTTGCGGAGGAAGATATAATTGCATTGACTAAGGTAGTTGCTATACTTCGCTCGTACATAACTTTCTGTACGAAATGCTGATTTGCATAAAATACTTACCAAGTAGAGATTTAGGGGTTGGTATCCTACCTTGGTTGTGTTTCCGTGTACCTGCTTTTGTTTCTATGTTTTGTTTGTTTGTCTGTTTTGCTTTTTGGTTGCTCACTTATAAGTTATCTTTCAAACTTAGCACTGCCTTTAAGGTTTTCAACTTCTATTTTTTCCAAATGTTTTTTGTTTGTTCTTTTTCTGCTATTCTAATCTTGTATCCCTTTGGGTGGAGGTTAGGTCTGTGCGTACATCTAACCCTCCCCGGACCCCACCTTCGGCTGGGATATATTGGGTTTGTTTGGTTGGTTTGATTACTCTCCAAGTATGTTCATGGTCATATCTTGTTTCAGTCACACAAACCTTTTACATCTTTAATATGCTTACAGGTGACCCTGTTAATGCTACCCCACAAATTTAGTCCCCTGATGCAGCCAAAATCAATTTGGAGTGCAGATATGAATCTTGAGACACTCGCACCTGTGGAGCACATATTGTCCTTGGATCCACTGGATGTATGTGCGACTCTTGAGCCAAATTTGTCATCTTCCATTTTTCAAAATTTCAGGGGTTATGTTTAGTTATGTCTCTATTAACTTCCTTAATTGCAGAATACTTGTCAATGTTGGTAATCTGTGATACTTATCTTGTGTACACATAGTACATATGTAACACCCCAAAGCAACAAGCTGACCCAATAACCTCCAGATCAACGTAAAACCATGGTAAAAGTTATTGATGGCCCACAACTAGAGCTTATAAGGAGCTCACAAATCTATTTTTCTATCTATGTGAGACGAATTGTTACAACATGTCACTCTTTTAGCTGTTCATAGTTTCTTGTATTTTTGCACCTCCTCCATTACACATTAGAGATACATCTTGCAACCAAATCACAAATTTATTGGATCGAAACTTGATGCACTTCTTTTTTCAAATACATCAACCATAGATATTGCAAACTATCAAAAAAAAATTGCTAATTACTTTTATCTATTATTTCCAACACCAAGAACTCCCACCTTTTTAAACTTCAGGATTTTGGACGATGACTTATGTGAAGTAAAAAATTGCGAAACAACTGTGAAATGGACATTTGTTATTATACATATTTTCGTTCACCTAACTTATTTCTTTGGCTATTCAGAAGACACCAGTAATGACGCTTCTGTTCATTGTATATACCATGTAGATTGCAAACTTTGCTTGATGTTCCCATCTCTCTTGTAACACAACATGCCCCTGTGCATCCATTGAAGATCTGTTTGATGTCTTCCCTATTTTTTGCATACAAAATTATGAAAGAAGGATGTCTATTACCAATTATTTATCTGTTTCTTGCTTGGAGTGTTTATCCACGTGAAGTGTTTAGGAAACTTGTATGATTTCTTTATTTTATGTACAATTTTCTTGGTATTATGTTCAAATTGGAGAGCTTTGATCAAATTTATTTTGTTTGTTTGAAGATGAACACATTCAGAGGAACCACCTTGCAAGGAGCTCCAAAATCTTCTAACGTGTACGGAGGGCAGTTTATGGGACAGGCATGAAGCCTATGTGGTTTTATATTTAGATTTGCTAGCATTATACATATTTTTGTGTTCTTATGATAAAAATATTTAATACAACTTGGTGGATCTTACTAGCATTTATTTAAGCCATATGCTGCCTTACCTTACACGGAATGACTTGCTCTAGGAAATTATTTAGATAGACTCCAGGTTGGCATATTTGCATGGACAGACAGATGAAATAGGAGATGGATATTGTTACAGTAACACCAAGCAACCTTTCTTTTTTTGACATATGATAAAATCTTCTAAGATTTCCAATTTCAAAGGGATGTAAGAAAGTAAGTCTCACTATATCTTCTAGTACAAAATATAGATTCTGTTTAGATATCCTCGCCTTCAATGTTTGGAGAAATCATGAGTATTTCCAAACCTTAGATGAACCACACTAACACAAAAATAAGATCTTAAATACTAATTCATAAGTAATTAAAATTTTAACTCTCAACACATAATTTGTTTCTCTATACACCAACTAAGGAAAGGCTTTCTATCTGTACTTAAATGGAACCTGTATCATGTAACAATTGGTGCAGATTAACCAAGTACAAGTTAAGCATATATTCAGTACTTTTTGTATCAGCAATTAAACCAGTTTAAGAATATGTGACATGCTGGAGTTTGTTTCGTAATGTGTATACTTCATGTTGATTTCCAATTTTAGTATAATGCTCAACCGAAGAACTTTGAAGTTGAAGCTATTGTAGCGAAAGTTGTGAGATATAGGTGAATCAGATTAACTTTAGCCTCTTTCTCCTCCTTTGGGTTAGCAGGCATCCTACTCAATATAACTAATGTTTTAACTCCATGGATTCTACATAAGGTTCTGAGTCGATGCAAGGACATCTATCATTTCCTTTTCTGTACTTCCATAGCATGCCAAGATTATACAACTTCTTCAATATTCTTTTATATGTGTTTTCTCATTTTGTTATGATTAATTATCTTTATCAATATAAATTCAGTTTAAACTAATATGCATGACATAACATAGTGGTATTCTCCTTACTTACATATCTAGATGGTCAATAATATTCAGGCATTGGCTGCGGCATCCAAAACAGTTCATTTTCTTAAGATTTTACATAGCTTTCATGCTCACTTCCTTCTTGCTGGGGACATAAATAGTAAGTTGATTTCCATATAACTGAATACAATATATACAGCAGTTTGCCAATCATCTGTATTTTGTACTGTTTTTTTTTCTTCCGCAAAATTGTATCCACTTGATCCTTCCCAAATCTATAGCATAATATGTAAACCACATATTCAGAATTAACTAGTGCTTCCAGATGGAACAGATGTAGAATGAACCTTTGGCATGTACTTTTCACCAAGTTTCTAACCTTTGAATGAATCCATATCACTGTATATACCAAGCTAATCAATTTAGGTTCTTGTTTCATTGTATCTAAATTCTCAATATGCAGAAAGATAGATTGCACCCTATTCTTAAAAACTATATTTTATATGCTAGGTTAGTTGGAGATTCTGAACCTGAAGTAGAAGAAAATTTGAAGAGTGGATATGAATACAATAATTTGAGAATTGTCCAAGGTTTATTCTGTTCACATCATTCTATTCCCAGGCAGACTTTTCACATGATTCAACTAGTAGTACATCTTATTATCAGATACAGCACTGTTTTTTAAGGTTCTCAGAATTGCAGAGTGATAGTGAGCTATTAGTATTACTAGATCTCATGGAGGTCCTGTGAAGGAAATCTTTATCTGGAGCAAGGCTTAGGCTTGTTCTTTCTTTACCCCAAAAAAAGCTTGATCTTTTGCTTCTTGGGTTACATCTTTTCAGGTTGTTGTCAAGCTACAAATACCTATCCTTGGTTTCAGACCACTACATTTTGACCTCTAGCTAGGTGCTTCTCTCTTCAAGATAAAAGCAATAATGCTGGCCCTCATCATCCATCATAAATTTCACATCTCACTTGCTAACGATAATTTGGCTTAAGGCCTTTACTGCTATTATGGTGTTTAGTTTGTTGTAGGTATGTGTACTGAGAAAACAAAAATCTTTGCATGGACCATTACTTATGTTTGATCCATTTTTAATGCATGTGCTGCATCACAAATTTGCTATCCTAATATGTATAGTGTGCATATGCAGTTCCAATTATATATCAAGTTGACCGGCTACATGATGTGCCTAATCTTGCTACAAGAAGGGTGAATGCAGTACAAAAAGAACGCCTTGTCTTCTTTTTGATTGCTTCCTTTCATGTAAGGATTCTATGAAACTTAGCTGACTATTTCTTCTTGAAAACAGGAAAGTTTTTTCTTTCATGTGCATACTCGTTCTAACTTGTGGACGTTGCTGGTCTCATTCCAATAATTTGACCTGCTTTGTTGTCTAGTTATTGTTTTCATCCACTGGACCTAGTAACCCGTCCTTGCTTAAGAGTGTTGGTTGTGTTTGTTTGGATAAGTCAAAGGCTTCAATAGATTTCATAGAGCCGTAAGGCTGTTTAAGACATTGAGATACATCTATCTGTTGTACTTATATAAATCAATCTGCTATCTAATTGTACAACTACCTAAACATAATGTACAACTATTTAATGCACAGCCTTTCTACAGCTTGCAAAACAGTGCATCCCCACTCACAATTCCCAACAAGCATGCAATTCATCCCATGGTTACCAAAAAAACGTTTCCAGATTCCATGATATTTAAGTACCGTCAAGGACGCTTCATATAGCCAAATACCAACGGATCATTCTTCGACAATCATGTTACCCTTATTTTACATTACAAATGCCACCAGTTTATCAACTGGAATTCCCCCCTTCAAAATAGAACGTATAAATGAAGGGAACAAATATTTCTGGGAGGGGTTATCCCCCCCCCAAAAAAAAATGTTGTGTTATCAGGTACATGTATCTTATATCACATAAATCATCTTCTTTTTGCTTTCTTTTACTTCCATTTGGACCTTGAAATCTCCGGCTGCTTAGTTTCACTCCAAAGAAATGATGATGCTCCTGGTGTTCTCATTTGCCAGTACAATGTGTCAGCTGATACATATTTGTAACCTTTATATGTTTATTGCTGCATATAAATTTATTTGACTTGATTGCTTCATTATGAATGCTTCTCACTTACTATGCTTATGACATACACTTACAGAGGGGAGAAGAAGGGTATGATCACCAAGAACCAACAATGCCTTCCATGCCTGACCCGGAAAAGGTAACCAAATACTTTGTGCTTTGGACGATCCTTTTATTTATTTTATTTTGTTGAAAGGCTGTCCCAGGCTATGCCTGTACTACCTGGCAAATTGTGACTGCAAGAAATCAGCGCTGATAAACACAGTGACCACAATTGTTGTGTACGCCTGGAATCGAACCCTGGGCAGATGGGATATTCCACCACAGCCCCCAGGACCTCAACCACTACGCCACAACCCTTGTGGTTGATGATCTTTTATTCTAGTCAGTTTCTGCATTGTTTATTTTTTGTTTGAAATATTGCAAATTGCAGCTCTTGCCAGAGCATGGATTAGAGGAGGGTGTTAAGAGTCTTCCTAATCTTCAGAGGTTAGATTCTGTATATCCTTGACTCATGATTCATTATAAATTACTTCTTTTTGAAGTATATAATATCTATATACGGCAAGTACTCACGCACACTCCTCACCATTGGTAAGGTTTGAAACCTTGACCCTCATGGCTCATGGGAGGCTCGGTCTACTAGTAACCCGCCTACTGCTGGGTCAATGACTGTCGATGCTGTTCTTTCGTACAACATTCCAGTGCAAATAGTTAGCTATGATTTCTTTTGGCTGTGTGCGGGTATTTAGTTTTGACCACAAAATTTAAGAATGCATCCAATAATGTCATTATTCTGTACTCTCAACCAAAAAATGTGAATCCGGTGTCAGTTAAGTACGTTAGACCTGTGAACTTACCTGTTCCTTGTCTTCAATTACATAGAATGTAACATCTGACTCTAATTCGAGCATAGGTATCAATGTCAAAAATTCAAATTATTGGTAGTTAGCTCTCATTCGCCAACTTATTTGGACCACACATGCTAATACCTCTTATAGTATAGATAAGCAGAACTTGTTACAATTATTACTTCTTTTTTCAGTCTAATTCTAATTATATGAGGGGAACAAATTCTGGATCTTGATTCAGAAATAAATCATCAAATTTTACTTGGGGGTCATTTACCAAACGCTTACCCGGGTACGTGCTTACTAAGTCACATTACCTTACTAGATGAATATGGTAAGGACCAAGAATCTTACCTTGTAAAGCAAAGGCAAGGACCAAAAGTCTTACCCGGTAAATAAGGGCGACGGCTCTTACCAGGTTAGCGCTTACCGGGTAAATTGTTGCATATGATGCCGTATTGGTGGACTAAAATCTTAATTGGCAAGTGATAGTGTTAAATTTTACCCGTAAGCGCTTACCGATTAAGTGTTTGGTAAACCGCCCCTTAGTAGTAGCTTCCTAGATTGGTACTTGGCTCACTTGTATCCTTGTAATTTTTGTTTAGCAAGCTGGGGGTTTTCACGGAAATAGCCTCTATACCTTGGGGTAGAGGCAAGGTGTACGTACATTCTACCCCCCCAGACTCTACCTCTGGGTGGGATATACCAGGGTCATTTGGTTTGGCTTTAGCGTCCTAGATTGATTGACTAATAAGGTGACAAACTGTGATGCACATATTTCTATATGTAATCAAACTAGCATTGAACCTAAAGCTATAATGGAAGTGATAACCATTCAGCTGTCTAATGTCAATTGTGTTAGAAATTGGGGATTGGAGATGATTCGTGGACTGGATAATCTCGTTGGATCGTGAAAAGTTCACATTTCAAATACAATAATTCATCCCTTAATGTCTTGGGTATCACAAATTTCGTATTGGGATAATCCAAGTGAAACTCTCGTCTCAAAGGCTGTGAGATCGAGTCCTTATAATACCCAGATTCTGGATTATATATTTATATGAAAGATCGAAGGTTATGGGCGGTTGAAACGGTTAAAACAGCTGTATGACAGTTATAACCGTTAACAGATAAGGTACATATGTATCAAAATCAGAAGCAACATCATGAACTCTGGCTCCATGGTCCAGGGCTCTGACAGACTTGGTCAAATTTCTACCAATTTCAGGAACAATTTCAAGAAGGTTTCCAACCTTCTGAAATTCGTCCAGATCATCCTGAAACTAAAAAATTTCCAAGTCTAACTCTTCTTAAAATCCATAAACCTCGGGGCTCTGCCCCTTGGACCCCCGTCTTTGGCGATCTAAGGTGATAAAGACAACATTTGTGAGTGTGCACTTCGCACCTCCTAACTCACTTATGTTTGCCTTATCACCTAATTGATCTCACGTAAATCACAATCATACTAAAATGATTTATGACACTAAAATCAACAACAAATTATGTACCTAAAGTGGAAGGTTGTAAAATATATTACTGAGTAGATTGTTTTTGTGGTCAAGTGGACAGGTTTTTAAGTTAATGTGAGTGACTTGGAAGGTTAGTACTAATGTATTATACAGCTGCTGCTAGCTCTACATCTCTAACAGCATGGAATCTTGGTAAACTTGCAAGTAATATATTTTGTACGTGATTAGAGAATGTCTTAATGGATGTATGGTAAAAATAGGAAAGATGGAACTGGAGAAACATATTAGGACTGGGATTGGGATTGGGACTCATCACATTCACTAATTAACATGAGATGATAAATACATTTAAGTACAAGGCGAACTAAATGGAAAAAGTGGCTTACAATGGTATTGATATAGCAACAAGGTTGATAGGGTTGGGGGTGTGCAAAACCCGAATGGCCCAACCTGAACCAAATGCGAACCGAAAATGATGTGTTTGCTCAAAACCCAAATGCCCCCAACATCCGAAAACCCAAGATATATGTGTGTATATATATAGAGTCAGTTTCATACAAGAATGGATCCTAAATAAGAAAATGGATGAATCACGTGATTTTACACTAAAAATTTTACACTAAAATCACGTATAAAATCACATGTGATTCACGCGACTTTGCCCCAGGCTTGAGGTCGCGGCCAAAGTCTCCTGCACACCTTTTTTTTTACCGTCAATGTAGAATCACATGTGATTTTCTTATTTAGGTACCATTCTTGTATGAACCTACCTCTTTATATATAATTTTTAAATATTATATAAATATATTTATTTATCTTATTATCCTTCCGAAATCCTAAATCCTAGTCGACCGTACTCTCTTCTAATAAGCGTAATATTGATTTCATCAATCTTCTCAATCGAATGAATTCATTCTCAAATTGATTGAATATATTCTTTTGCATAAACTATTCCTGAACCCTACTGCCTCAACCTGAAACCCAACCCCTAGCAATCTGAAATCCAAAAACACAAAATTCGGGATTGGCTTCCATACCCGAAATCCAATCAGATTTTTTGTTTGCCAAATCCGAACCCATCGACCGCCCAATGCACACCCCAGGTAGATAGATATTAGTACAATCTACAAAAGTATGAAGGAAACGACTGCCCGTGGTTAAATGAATATCATGTTTTGTATCGGAACTTAGAGGGGGGAAGGATATTGCAGCTAGGGTTGGAATCTAGTGAGAACAACCCTTTTTCGTGAGAAGGTGAGAAAAGGCGAAGGTATCTTTATATTGTGTAAATGTTACGTTATATTTTGTGAAAGTTGTAACCTTCACACAATATAAGGGTACTTTCACAGTTTTCATTACAAACCTTTACACAGTATAAAGGTACTTTCACTTTTTCTCAGCTTCTTACGAAAGTGAAAATTTCTCACATGCTCCTCACTCATCACAACTAAACTTAAGTAGATAAATCAGTTTGTTGTAAAGTTTGCAAGTCAAATAAAATTTTACGAGCTTTATGAGCAATATATCCTGTTCCTGTTACTTGGTCCTTAAATCATAATCATGTTAAAAGAAGTTCTTAAATCAAGGAGATTGATTAACAGAATCGAAGTTTCCACCCCAACTTCTGTCCCGTGGCCCACAGAAATCAGGCCTGTGGATCCTGTAAAGCATACTCGCCAAACTGCACGCTCTCCGAGGTTTTTTCTACTTCTTATTTATTACAGCAGTTTTTCTTCTTCTCGTCGATGCTTGCATGGTATTTACATAACAGCTTCTTGGATATATGTAAAACGCATTTGCAGTGACGTTTACTGGTTGAGAGCAAAAGGTAAACTTCCTGATGACCAGGCTTTGCACAGGTGAGAGACTCTTTCAGTTGGCCACTTTTTTTCTGAATAATTTTACGGGTGACAATTTTTTTTTTCTCAATCAACTTGACAAAGTTTCAAAATTTTCTTTTTTTTTTACCCATTTTGACTGGTATCATGCACATCTTGTAACATTTGATGGCGTGGATATAAGTTTATCACCCACTTTGCCGTAACCCTTTTGTAAACATGCCATAAACTTTTTGTAGATGGGTACCCATATCATCAAATGTCACAAGATCAGGTTATCAGTCAAAATAGGTATTAAAACATACAACTTTGAAACTGTTACATTGATTGAGAGAGAAACATTCTTTGTTACACTAAATAGGAACTAAACCAAACTTTGCTGCATTTTTCCCTAATTTTATGAGCTTTGAAGACCTAGAGCAGAATAAATATCAACAAAGGAGGTTCATTTTCTTTGCAAATAACAGGTGTGTAGGGGCATACTTCTCAGATCTGCTATTCATTCAAATCAGTCTTAATCCACACCGTAGAAAGGGCTTGTCTCCATCCTCTATTAGTCTGGACCATTCGTAAGTAAATACATGTTTTACAGTTTTACAACATTCAGCAGCATATCGCAAGCCCAGGGTCTTTTTGGAAACCACCTCTGTCTCTTGGGACAAAGACAGGGTATGCGTACATCTTACCTCCCACCACCACAACCCTGTTGGGGATAATTTATACAAAACAATGCACAAAAGTCCCAAACCAAATGTCAAAATGTGCAAAGGTGCAACCCAACAACAGAAACTGAATATGAGGATTCTAAATGTTTTCAAATGTACCAACAAGTAGAAAATGCAATCCAAATCGATACTCCATAATGTAAATGCAAATAGACACAAAGAACACGAGATTTAACGTGGTTCCACTATTGTGAGATAGTGTACATCCACAGGGGAGAGATGGAGCTTGTATATATTGATGAACAAATGGAGGAGATTACAACAAAGTTTACTTTAACACTGAAAATCCTACATTCTCAAGGTAAAAGCTCTCAAAATGCCTTCTAAATCACAAAAATGGCCCTAGGGAAGAGTTGGGAGCAAGACACCTAAAACCTAGCTGAAAAAAAGGCTTAAATCGGCCAAAACAGACCCTCACGCGACCATAGGCCTGGTCTCCCCCCCCCCCCCCCCCCAAAAAAAAGGGCCCAATCTGGTCCATTTCATATGGGAGTGACGTGTATCAAAATATTCAATAAACACAACCTTGAAGTCTACCTACTTGTCAAAAACGTACAATGTTGTTTCAGATTTTGAAACAAACCATACATGTCCATACGTTTCACATTGTGAAATAATGTCTTAGATACTAGTTTTAGATGAAACAAATGCATGTGAAATAATACCTTGAGATTGGTTCTGACGGGTTCTTGATATTTTTGAGGTTCTTACTAGATTTGTCCCTTCATCTCATGTTCCTATTGTTTTCCCGGGTATTAATCTATGGTCAAAAACTGAAGTTTTCTTGCACATTACCCTTGATGAACCTTACAAAATAACATCCTTTCAATAAGGGATACTAGTCAAGTAACTCTTTTGTGCCTGAGAGTAGGGAACGTTGAACAAATATATTATCGAAACATGAGGCCAAGTGGTCTAATAAATATTTTAATAGTTTTTGGTAATCTTACCCTAGTTTATTCGGTTTATAGTTTAAACAAAACCAAAAAAAAAAAACCAGTATGTCCCATGGGGTCTAGAGGTAAAGATGTATGCAAACCTGACTTTTATCTTAAAGAGTAAAGTGACTATTTTCGTGAAGACCCCCAATAATCACTAACTAGGAGAATCTTGCAGGCAAAAATGAATACTCCCTCTATCCCATAATGTAAAAGGCACACAGTTCTAAAATGTGTAATTATTATATTGTTTCAATTAACCAGATGATAATTTTACCTTAATAATAGAAAGAATAGTGATCCATCTCATAATTAATGATGTAATTGGAAAGTAGACACTTATTTGGAAGGAGTACTCTTGCTTGTAAACTTCCCATAAAAGGAAACATTGCAATTTTCATGGAGCATCCAAAAACAAAGAGTGTAGCAATTTTCATGGGATAAAGGAAGTATTTGTTTGGCAGGATATGGAGATTGCAACATTTCTATTTACAAAAAAATCTCAATTTACAAACTCAGAGTTACCTATTTGCCTGTTATAATTATTACAATTTGGTTCTATTTGGTCAAGGTCCACAATGTTACATTATTTTTCTCCATGTCAAATGATTTTAAAAAAATTTGACAAGCAACCCTTGGGGTAGCTTATCTAGTGAAACCTTGGTTTGCTTCCCAGAGGTCACGAGTTCGAGTCTCTGCAAGACCTCTAGAGGTTTATCTGGCTGTTAACTTCAGGGTCCCTTGGGCTTAGTCGAGATGCACACAAACTGGTCCGGATATCCATAGTTATGAAAAAAAAACGTTTGACAAGCAGTCAAAGACTACGTAAACGTTACGACTGTTTCTGGTCGAGCATTGTTGTTTTTAATAGGGGGCATAATTAACACAAAATCTGCCCTTTTACCTTTTTTTCAGGATGTGGTTTCATAGGGATTTTAGAGCTGATGATTGGTTGTTATATGTGGTAAGTATCAAAGTGAACTACTATTTAATGGTTGTCGTTTGTTGGGGTTTCATATTGACTAGATTTGAATCATTTCTCCTTGATATGTGTTGGAACCTCGTTTTTTAACGTGAAAGGGCTCTTGGAGAGTAAGTGAACGGGGTTTTATATATTCTCACTTGGTATCAGAGCCACAGTCTACCCATCTAGGGATTTGACACCCTGGGACAATCTTTGTTTGTCTAGCCTTTGTTGGAGGGGGCGTGTTGAAGTCCCACGTCCCCCGATTTACTACCCGTGTAGGGACTCGACACCCTGCGACAATCTATGCTCGTCTAGCCTTTGTTAGAGGGTTTATTGGAGGGGACGAGTTGAAGTCCCACATCCTCCGGTCTACCCATCTAGGGACTCGACACCCTGAGACAATCTCTGACTGTCTAGCCTTTGATAGAGGGGACGTGTTGAAGTCCCACATTGACTAGATTTGGATTATTTCTCCCAAAATTATGTTGGAACTCCATTCTTTTCTTAAAGTAATCTGTTGGAGAGTAATCTAATGGGGTTTCACATATTATTCATATGGTATCGGAGCAAAAGTCTACTCGGCTAGGGACTCGTCACTTTGGAACAATCTATGCTCATTTAGCCTCTGTTGAAGGGAGACTTTCACCATTTCTCACTCAATTATGTTGTTGAACCTCATTTCTCTATTAAAATGGTTTTTTTGAAGAATAATCTAATGGGGTCCCACATTCTCACATTGTTAATATTCTCTCTCTTCATAATTATCACTTTAAAAGAAACGGTGAGTTTGATGGTAACATTTGCGGTTTTTTAAATTCTCTCTCTCTTTATCATGTAGTTTTTTTGAATTCGCAGATTGATAGTCCTACCGCGTATAACGCACGAGGCTTTTCCCGTGGTCAAATGTTCAACAGAAAGGGAGAGGTAACCACATCATAACTTTCGTTGTGTTCTCGAGTCCTTTTTTACAAAGAAAAGCAGGGGAAAGAAAAAATATCGTGTTTTCGAGTTCTTTTAGGAGGGAAAGGAAAGTAAACCGAAGGAAAATAAGAATTTTCCCAAACCCTGAACCAATTATTGCATGAAGGAAAGAAAATAAAATAAAAAATATTTATAAAATTATATATATATATATAGGGTTGTGTTCACGTGAGACCAGCCTGTTTTCGTGAGACCCGTGAGACCACATTTTTACACGTAACCTTCACAGCAAAAACACTGTGAAGGTTTTAAAAAGTCACCTTCACAGCATTTTGCTGTGAAGTTTCAAGTGTAAAATGTTGGTCTCACGGGTCTTACGGGTCTCACGAAAACAGACTGGTCTCACATGATCCCAAGTCTATATATATATAAGAAAAAGTTTAAAAAAAGTTCAAAAAAACAAACAAACTTTCTCATTTTGAATGATTAAATCCCTGAACTATTTTTTTTAAATGAAAAAACCATTAAACTTTCTATTTTGAATGATTAAGACCTTAAATTTTTTTTTAGAAAATAAATAAATTATCGAATTTTTACTGGTCGGTTAAAGTAACTTTTTTGGGTTGAAAGGATTTAGGTAACCAATTTCTATAAGTGCGATGGTTTATTTATTAAAAAATGTTTAGGGACTTGATCAATCAAAAAGAGAACGTTTAATGGTTTTTTTCATTCAAAAAAATAGTTTAAAGACTTAATCATTCAAAATGATAGAGCTTATTGATTTTTTTCATTCAAGAAAATAGTTTAGGACTAAACCATTCAAAATTGAAAATTGTTTTGGGTTTCTAAACATTTTCCTATAATATATGATATGAGCTTTTTATACTTTGTTCTATTTCTTACTCGTTTCATCGACGCGATACATTTTTAACAGGGTCTCCAACAATATTTGACGCCCCCGAATTCCCCCCGCTCTCATTCATACCGCTTATTTTTTTATTTTTTTTATTAACCTAGATATCCAACCCGTTATGCGAGCCGACTAATCCCATGGCGACCACCTGCTTTGCAGATAGTCCGGAGTCACCGCATTTAAACCTCCGTGGCCATAAAGGGATTTTTATTCCCCCTTGTATTTGAACCTAAAATCTCTTGGTACTTTTGAAGTTTGAAGCCAATACTGCTTATATTTCATATCCTTCTTAACTCACATCACTCACATTTCATGCCCCTCCTCACTCACATAGGGGCATTAATAGAATTGACCTATGAGACCCTCCTATGCTATTTTGAGTTTTCAAATGTCATACTAATTTTCTTGAAGAAAATTGGATGTTAACTTGGTTCATGAAAAATCTTGGATTTGTTATATGCTATTTGTCGACTAATCTATTTTCTCGTTGCAGCTTGTTTTGTCGGCGATGCAGGTGGGTGTCGTAAGGAAGACACGGTTTGTTTCTACTATTACGTCAAGAATATAACTTTAACTCATTTACGATTAAAGACATTGTTGTATGATTCTTTTTCTCAATCAGAAATCATCATTGAAATCATAAGTGTTAGCTTTGAAGAAATCATTTAATGGATGATCACTTCCTTTTCAAGTATATAATATTTAGATTATATAAGGGAAATACTCATACACACAGTTAATCGTCTTTTGGTAAAGTTTGAACTCTGAAAATGCATGAATTAAATAATTTTCATTTTCTAAATAAAAAAAAATTAAAGTTTGCAATTAATTTATAAGTTTCACATTATTTTTATAGGAGTAAATTGCATGAAAAATAATGTACTTTAATTTGATTCTTATTTTGGTATGGGTAATGTACGTTCAGAACTTCCATTTTGGTACCTAATGTGTAAAATTTTAAACATTTAACTACAAAGGTGGTGTCTGATTGGTTTGAGCTTGGGCTCCAAAGATCAAAGTGTCTGGAAGTTTCAAATTCAAATCCAAGGAGGAATAAAAATTCTTTTGTGAACATGAAGGTTCAAATGTGGTGACTTTGGGCTACCCGCAAAGCAGGTGGTCGCCTTGGGATTAGTCGGCTCGCATAGCGGGTTGGATATCCAGGTTAATAAAAAAAATTAAACATTTAAGTACCCGCGTAACTGGTTGAAGCATTAACCAGTTATCATGATGAATAATGTGGTATCTGACTCAGTAATATTCGCTGACGTGGTTAGTGACATGGATTTTTTTAATTTAAAATTAATTCTCAATCAGTTATTTGGATACTTAAATGTTTAAAATTTTATATATTATATACCAAAATAGAATTTGAAAGTACGTTACCTAAAATAGAGATCAAAATAAAATACATTACTTTTTGCTTTGGTAATATAAGAAAAAGTAGAATTTTTGTAATGAATTTATCATACACCACGTGATTTGATGATCATCAAAAATGGGCAAAAAAAAAAGGGCGTGGTTATTAAAAATGAGGTAAATTACATGTTTAGTCCCTCTCGTTGGGTGTTTCTAACGAGATTTGTCCTTTTCTTTTTATCATTCAACGATATGTGTCCTTGTGGTTGCATTATTTAGCAACATGTCTACAGTTGCAATTTTTTCAATGATTTAGGTCCGTGTGCTTGCATTTTTCTAACAAGTCCTTATATAAATCAACGACCTCGGTTTCTACAATTGCAGTAAGGACCCACCTCGCTGTAAACATGCAACCACATAGACATGACTCGTTAAAAGTTTAAGATAGAACAAAGACCGTTAAAATAAAACCGAAGGTATGGATTTGATCCCTGAATAAATCAATGACCTGGGTCCTTGTGGTTGTATTAAGAACCCAACTCGTTGTAAAAATGCAACCACATGGACGCCACCCATTAAATTTTGAAAAACAAAGAAATGGATTTGATCTCTAAATAAATCAACGATTTGGGTCCTTATGATTGCATTAAGAACCCAAATCGTTGTAAAAATGCAACCACATGGACACGACCCAAATAAATTTTGAAAAGCAGGACAAAAACCGTTAAAAACACATAACCACAGGGATGAAACATGTAATTTACTCTTAAAAAGAGGAAGAAAAAAGGAAAGAAAAAAATAAGGGCCCAACCGGGTTCGAACCGGTGACCTATTGATCTGCAGTCAATTGCTCTACCACTGAGCTATGGACCCATGTGTGTTGTTTAATCAAATTTACAATTATATATACCTTAAAACTATTAAATATTAATATAATACTAACTATCAAAACATTAAAGTAATACCAGAAGCGTACTCGTAGAATGCAGTGAGATAAATCTCGATTTTAATGTTTAGTTTTTATTTTTTGTCTCTATCGATATAATATGATTTTATGTCTTTTTGAGAAAGCGGTAATGTTTTTATTTTTAAACTAAAATATCAATTTGAAGATAACATAAAAATTTATAAAAAAAATAAATCAAATTAACTATATAATAGTTCTCGTTTTTTTGGTGTAACTTTTCTAATTTAGATTTTTATTGTAATTTAATTCAGATTTAATAACAAAGTAATTTATTTTTGGTGTAATAATATAATTTTTTTATAAAGATAATGATTAAATATTCTGTTAGAACTCAATTATTATCTTAATTATATTTTAGATTTTCTATATTTAAAATAAATGTTTATCATGTATTTGATTATATTTAACAACAGTTAATTACACGAATTTAAAAATGGAGTTTTAATAAGTTGTACTTACGCAAAATTACTTGTAATCTTAAATTTTAAGTAATATTTATCAATAAATAGTATTTCATGCATAAAAAATAATTTTTAAGAGTTTTTATCAAATGTTTTATAATATACTATAGATTAATTTTGGTTTAACAATATAATTTTTTATAAAGATAATAATTAAACATTCTGTTAGAACTCAATGATTATCTTAATTATATTTTAGATTTTTATATCTTTACAATGAATGTTTATCCTATTTGATTATGTTTATCAACAGTTAATTACACGAATTTAAAAATGGAGCTTTAATTAGTTATACTGACGCAAAATTACTTGTAATCTTAAATTTTAATTAATATGCATCAATAAACAATACTTCATGCATAAAAAATGGTTTTTAAATTTTTTTGTCAAATGCTTTATAATATAGTATAGATATAGAAAGAATAATGTTCGAATAAAAATTAAAATTAAAAGGGAAAAAGAGGACAAATATATAATTACTATTAGATTGGGTTAAAACATTTGAGGTTGTTTGTTTATCTTTTGATAGTTCCATTAAGAGACAACATCTCCAAAAAAAAATATGTCTCTTAATGGTTCTAAAACTCTCTGAATTATTTTGTATGATGGGTCTCCCTTAACCATTCAGTACCATAATTTCATTGTAAACAATTACCAAATAATTATATTTCATTTTGCACTATATCATGAGAGTCTCTTAATCATTTTGCATTAAACCATTCAACTTTTATTCATTAAGAAAAACTGTTTACCAAAATCAAATTTACCTTTTAATAAATCATGGATGTTTATTGATCCTTTTCCTCTGGTCGACAACATTTAGTTGATGAATTTACCGACTAGAAAAGTCGTCGACAATATAATCTGTTGTATTTTGTATTTAGTAATAAGGGACAAGTTCAAGTGAGAAATATAAATATTTTGAGAATTTCATGATAACATTTTTGGGTTATTCATTATGAATAATGAAAATGCATGATGTCATGAATAAGTCATGAAAATAATTGGTTATCATATTTTCAAAATATTTATTTTATTAACATGGATATTCAACCCGTTATGCGAGCCGACTAATCCCAGGGCAACCACCTGTTTTGCAGATAGCCCGGAGTCACAACATTTGAACATCCATGGCCACAAGAGGATTGTTATTCCTCCTTTGATTTGAACTTAGGACCTCCTGGTACTTTTGACCTTTAAAGCCAAACTCAAACCAATCAGACATCACCATTGTAGTTATATTTTCAAAATATTTCTACTCCTCATCTCAACTTGCCATTTATTATCTATTAATCACTTACTGGCATCGAGTTACACCTAGTGTTTGATAATTTGAAAATAATAACAATAACTTCTTACTCATTCAGTGTTTTATTATAACACTTGGTGAACAATATTTAAAAAAAATTAACTTCACAGGAAAACGTTGTGAAGGTAAATAAAGTCGGACATCAATAGCAAAAACACCGTGAAGGTTTCCTTCACAACGTTTTGTTGTGAAATTTCAAGTGTAAAAAAGTAGTCTCAGTGAAAACAGACTGGTCTCACGTGATCCCAAGTCTATAAACTGATATGGGAAAACAGAAGCAATATAAAATAAATACAGGAAGTTGTGAATCCAGGTACCTGTAATGAAGAAGGAAGCATTATACGAGACAAGAGAAGGATATGAGATTTTTAGGGTTTTTGATTTGAAAATAGGTGATTTGAACCGGTGGACATGGTATGCATGCAGGGCCGACTTGACCCTAGGTGCGTCGGCCCAAGTGTATCAAGGTTCAAGGTGCATCAACTCGGTCTTTCGGTGCTATTGCTACTAAAAACATGAGAAAGGGTACATGGATTCAAACGTCGAATCACAAATATGTACAAACACAACTCGTGTATTAATGATTTTTGTTATTTCCTGTCTTACTGTATTTTATTACCTTTAGCTTGTCTCGTCGTCATGACAACACATACTTTTCTCAAATAAAATGAAATCTAAATAAGATTAATCACATCCAATAATTAATACTTTGTACTGTTTTTGTTTTGAAACACTGTGATATTTGAAAATTACATTACTGAAGAGTCTCAATGTATCGTTTCGTTATGTGCCCTTATATTTCATGAAACTACATTAGTAAGACTATTTTTTCATGACGGAGTTGGTTTGCATGACTTTTTTTTGATTAACTTGGATATCCAACTCGCTATGCGAGCTGACTAATCCTAGAGTGACCACCTGCTTTGCAGATATCCCGGAGTCACCACATTTGAACCTCCGTTGCCACAAAGGGATTTTTATTTCTCCTTGGATTTGAACTTGGGACCTCCTAGTACTTTTGACCTTTGGAGTCAAGCTCAAACCAATCAGGCACCACCCTTGTGGATTGTATTCAATGTTTACCAGTTTTCCTAGTTTTTAACTTTTAATTTCGGATTTATTATGTTTATGAAAAAATTGAGATAAAAAAAATACTACAAGAAGACTTGAACACAAGATATTGCATCCCACCGACAAATCAATAATAATTTTATAAAGGACAAATTATATGAAAAAGTAACGTATTTAACTTGATTCGTATTTTGGGTAACATATTTTCAAAACTTTCATTTTTGGTACATGAGATGTAAAGTTTTAAACATTTAAGTATCCGGGTAACTGGTTGAAGCATTAATCGATTATCATGCTGATGTGGCAAGTGATGTGGTATCCGGTTAATGTTTCAGCAAATAATATTGAGTTGGATATCGAGTAAGATTCTTGGTTTCTTGTCATATTTATCTGATAAAGTAATATGACTTGTAAACACTTACTCAAATAAGATTTTAGTAAACGACCCATAAGTTAATAATTTAAAAACCATTAAT